CAATGGAATATGTCAGTCAGCTTTCATCAGAGCCAGTACTGGTGAAAAATGTGACTCCGGCTTCATTGGAACCGCCCTGGAGGCTAGTCTGCGTGCTTTTGGCGCCGCCCAGCTCATTGTGTCTGATTTGACATCAGAGCCCTGCGTCAACACTACTGTCCGCATGGCACCCAATCTGCAGGTGCTGGGCGATCAGGGTGGTCCAGATGGAACTGGAGAGGGGGTTCATGGGATCATCGTGGCTGGCGATGCTACGGCTACACAGCCAAGAGCTAGCTTCGATGCGGAGACGGTGCATGCTGTTACGCTTGCCAGTCTGGACGGGGAATTCGCGCAAGTGAGGAATACGAAAGAGGTGATTGCGTCTGTTTTTGGCTCACAGTCGAGATGATGATCCACTCGGGTATACATAGTACTCACCCAGCGCGCATACAATGCCCTAATCAAGGAAAGGACAGCGACCCAAGTGCGCTCCTCTGGACGATACAATGTGGAAAGGACTATGAGGCCGTACAGTTTTCGCTTCGTAGCGCATACTTCCTATAATATTCCCATGTTGACTCTTAAGCAACAACGAACATCTGCCGGCAAGGAAGAACAGAACATGGGTTCTGGCACGCACGAAGCGGGAGTCGTGGTCACGGAAGAATCAGTTGCCTGTCCCCTGACATTCGGTTCCTGCCTGTCGATCGTCCCTCTCCGTGATTTTCCCCTTGTCGCCCTTGAGGAACCCCCTTTCATTTCGTCACATCGGTCCTACTCGATCGGCCGTCGGCGCGACTGACAGACCAGGGTGCTCGCAATGCCGGCGTGGAGCGGGGACCACCACAGCATGCGGCTGGCCAATTCCATGAGTGTCAAAAGCTCGATGCAGTATGCGCCAAGCGGCCAGTTTCTTGTCTTAACCAATCCATCTATGATCTGTGTTAAATCTCCTGGCTGACAATCCAAGAGAATGAACAAATACGTAGTCTGGGGGCCCCAAGTTCGCACTGTCGCGTCGACAGCTTTAGCATCACCATCGTATGCCTCTCTTCTGTAAGGCCAACCTGACGGCCTCGGGCCGAACCTACCCTTGTCCCCAGGTTCTTCAGGCGCTCAAGCCTGCAAGCCACTATGCTTGCAACGGCTTTTAAGCTGCGGGGAAGAATCTGGGGCTTTGCACGTGTGATCCAGACCTCAACGCCCAAGGTGTGGGGTAGGTCATTTGTCTGCCCAGTGAGGGGATCATGACCAGCATTGAACCCCCTAAACCGGTTATGTGCCGTGCTTTTCTGCCCCTCGCATGCACGGGTGGCGCCTCTGAACCTGGACGATGCAACCCGAAGTCCTGAACTCCAGAATCATCCAGCATAAGCGCCGGAGTACGTCCAAATGAGGCGCTCACGGCCGCATGTTGCTCGTCGAAGAGTTCAAGTGGCTTTCCATGGGCTGCGCCTGTAAACAACCGCTCGGCCCTTCTACTGACGAGCGATCCACGAACCGAGAGTCTTTTCCCCAACTCAGTCTTCGCCCGCGCAACGTGCATTGACAGACCTTTCTGGCCTTGCGGCTCCAGCCGGCGATGTGGTTTCCCGCTCTGGTACCCCAGGTGATTCTGGCCACTATAGTCGACTCCTGAGCAGAAACGCCGGCCCGCCATGGACTTGGGCTTCGGCCGCCATGTTCCTCTAGTGGCATCCGAGAAAGGCCCGACTTTATGGGAAGCGTTGCGACTGCTTGCGATGTGGAGATAGCCTCATGCGATGTATCCGTCCTGTGCTATTTCCAACTGGGTATGGAGACTAGGTCGGCTCATCGTAGCGGCTTCATTCAAGCACTTCTATAAAGTGCCACGGTCTCTCCAACTTCAACGCTTGTAATCCATCCCTCCACAGATCAGCAATCCCATCAAGGTTCTACTCTTTCGGCTCGGTATCAGTTCAATATGAGGTTCTCATCCATTCTGTCGCTTGGCGGCCTGGCCGTCCAGTCCGTCTCCGGTCTCCCCGGAACTCTCGAGAAGAGGGTCAACGTTGATCAGTGGATCCAGCAGGAGCTGCCCATTGCCCGGGCCCAGCTTCTGTGCAACATTGGCCCCAACGGCTGCAACTCTGCCGGTGTCGCCTCGGGTCTCGTTATCGCCTCGCCCAGCAAGTCGGACCCTGACTGTATGTCCCAAAGACCTACCCCAAATACAAGATGAGACAAACTGACAGTTCCCCTTAGACTTCTTCCACTGGACTCGCGATGCTGGTCTTGTTTTCAAGGCCATCATTGACCTGTTCGTCGAGAACTACGATGCGGGTCTCCAGCAAAACATCCAGAACTTCATTGTCGGCCAGGCCAAGCTGCAGACTGTCAACAACCCTTCCGGCAGCTTCTCGAGCGGCGCCGGTCTTGGCGAGGCCAAGTATCTCGCCAACGGAGCCCAGTTCACCGGTGACTGGGGCCGCCCCCAGCGCGACGGCCCGGCTCTTCGCGCTATCGCCCTGATTAAGTACTCCAAGTGGCTCATTGCCAATGGCTACACCTCGACCGCCAACACCGTCGTCTGGCCCATCATCAGGAACGACCTGGCTTACGTCACTCAGTACTGGAACCAGACCGGTTTCGACCTGTGGGAGGAGGTTCAGGGCTCGTCCTTCTTCACCATCGCCTCCCAGCACCGCTCCCTCGTCGAGGGTGCTGCTCTCGCCCAGCAGCTCGGCCAGACCTGCAACGGCTGTGCCGGCATCGCTCCCCAGATCCTCTGCTTCCAGCAGCGTTTCTGGAACCCTTCTCAGGGCTACGTCATCTCCAACATCAACGGTGGCAGCTACCGCAACGGCAAGGATGCCAACTCTATCCTCACCTCCATTCACAACTTCGACCCTGTCCTCGGCTGCGACGCTTCCACCTTCCAGCCCTGCAGTGACCGTGCTCTCTCGAACCACAAGGTTGTGACCGACTCTTTCCGATCCATCTACGGCATCAACAACGGCAAGGGCCAGGGCCAAGCCGTCGCCGTCGGCCGCTACC